AAATGATTTTAGCAAATGGCTGCAATATAACAAAGAGTGAAAAATTGAAGGGGGTCTGAATACTTTCCGTACCGACTGTATACATAAATTTACACAGTACACACACATGAAAGTATGTAAAAAAACTTTTATTTTGAATGCGATTAATTGTTTTGCAGCCCTAAACACAATGCATTGTTAATAACAGTAACAATAATAATATTATTATAATTTTAGATTACAATTCATTGCAATATTTAATTAATAGAAGTATTAGAATTATTAAATGAATAATTAATAGAATTTTAATAATAATATAGTCCTATATATATTTTATATATATTATAGTCCTATAACATTGTTGACTGTGACAAATTTTTACTCGTTTCTCATTTGTAAGTCACTATGGATAACAGAGTCTGCTAAATAAGTACATGTAAATGTGCATGTAAATGTATTGAGGTTTAGGTGTCAGGTAAACAGTAGCATGCCACACTACCTACACTTGTGCATTTGTGTATGTGTTTTGCAATGCAAAGAGTGCCTCAGTGAGTGGAATGCTGTGTGTGTGTCTCTTACATTGCAGAGGGAGTGTGTTCTGTGTCGCGGTGAATCTGATGGCGTTGAGGATCTCTCTCCCTCCATCACCGAGGCGTCTGAGATGACTGACGGTTGTTTAGAGTGACACGGACTGATCCTGGCTGCGGCTGATGACATCATGCTGATGCCGTCAGCATCGCACACGCACGGTGATGCTTTCAGTACTAACAGACACAAACATTAGGAGAATTAGCAGGCTGATTTGAACTCATTTAGCATAAGTAATTCCCAGCTTTCTGGTTGAGATCTTTAAATGGACAGGTCATTGCTGTAAGTGTAATGTATGTGTGTGTGTGTGTGTGTGTACCTTGTCTGTCCATTGAGTGGTAAAGGTTTTGTTGACTCTGTCGTATCGCCGCAGTCAGAGGAAGCTCTGCATGCATCGCCCACTCTTGGTTGCCGTTGACGACAGTCTCTGTGGGCATGGCCAGTGAGTGTCGCTTAGGAACATCCTTAGTGAGAGTAGCCAAAGACTGTTTTGCCTGGAACACACGAACAGATTTAATTCAATATGCTCCACATCCTTGTCCAGAGAGAGTGTTGTAAACAAATGTAAAACGTGTGAAAATGAAAGTGTAGTACAGTACTGCCCAGAATAACCACTCCAAACGCTTCACAGTAGTGCCAGTCTGGAGCTAAAGTCAAGTTATTAATAGGCTCACACAGAATCTGCACTCAGAGGTTTCGGCAGAAAATATTACATATGTCAGCAATTGAACCATCAAAATTTTACATGCCTTCTTCCAGCCTTATGTGTTCATTCCCAGTCTTCATTACTTTTCTATTTGTATATTTTCTATATATGAGCATATGAGACTCCATTAAAACAAAGAAATTTTACTGATCCCAAACTTTTGAAAGCCAGTGTGTATATATATATACCCGTTCAAAAGTTTGGGATCAGTAACATTTTTCATGTGTTTTAATGGAGTCTCATATGCTCATCAAGGCTATTGATTTATTTGATCAAAAACACAGAAAAAAAAAAACACAATAATATTGTGAAATATTATTGCAATTTCTAATATTCATTTCCTATTTTAATATACTTTAAAATATAATTTATTTCTGTGACGCTGCACTGAATTTTCATCAGCCATTACGCCAGTCTTCAGTGTCACATGATCCTTCAGAAATCATTCTAATATGCTGATTTATTATCAGTGTTGAAACAATTGTGCTGCTTAATATTTTTTTGGAACCTGTGATACTTTTTTCTTTGATTCTTTGATGAATAAAAAGTTAAAAAGAACAGCATTTATTCAAAATAGAAATCTTTTCTAACAATGTAAGTCTTTACTATCACTTTTTATTCATTTAACACATCCTTGCTGAATAAAAGCATTAATTTCTTAAAAAAAAAATAAAGAAAAAATGTACTGACCCCAAACTTTTGAATAGTAGTGTATATTGTAACATAAATGTTCTATTTTGAATAAACATTGTTCTTTTTACCTTTTTATTTATCAAAGAATCCTGAAAAAAAGCATCACAGGTCCCAAAAATATTAAGCAGCACAACTGTTTCCAACATTGATTATAAATCAGCATATTAGAATGATTTCTGAAGGATCATGTGACACAGAAGACTGGAGTAATGATGCAGAAAATTCAGCTCTGCTTTACAGGAATAGATTACATTTTAAAGTGTATTAAAATAGAAAACTTATTTTAAATTGCAATAATATTTCACAAAATTCATTTTTTTTTCTGTATTTTTGATCAAATAGATACAGCCTTGATAAGCATAAGAAACTTCTTTAAAAAACATTAAAAATCTTACTGAGCCCAAACTTTTGAACGGCAGTGTATATATGTAATCGGTGCAGAAAATGCTGAAAAACTGCAGATTCCATGTTGGGCCTAGTTCAAAATCATTTCAAGCCATAGTCATGCCAGAAAATAAGCCAAAAAGAACACCACCACCACCACATTATCCATTATCATTGGTTTAGAATGGCTCCCAAGCTAGCTCCTAAACATTCTACAAAACGAGCATGCAGAGAAGAACATTCCCGCTCACAGTGAAGGAACAGAACCGCACGTGCTTTTTCCATTCCATATACACAACGAGTTTGTTCTCAAAACAAAATACACGTGCAACCAATCAAATTGTGCATATCAGATGGGGAGTCAACACTGCAGGCCAATCAAAGAGGGACTTGGGTTTGAGTGACAGGCCTGGCTGATCTTACCGACACCGTTTTGGGTGAGGCTGGTCTTTCTGGAGATCGAACAAACACACGACTCTCTAGTTTCTGAGCCATAAAGCTACTCATCTGTTAAAGAAACACACACATAAACAAAAGCACACACACAAACAACTCAACACTGACATTTTTGAGTTACTCAGTTGACAGATCGTTTGAAGACACATGAAGATATTGTAAACAAGACGAACACTTCAAATATCTCTAGACTCATTCATCCACTTAGAAGACAAAAAGTAGGATACCCTGCTTTTCTACACTCTGTGCATCTCACCATAGTCAGTTCAGCCTCCAGCTCCTTGATCCTGTTCTCTTTCAGGTCCAGTGCAGATCGGAGTGCACTTGCATGCTCTGTGGCCTCTTTGGTTTGTCGGCGTAGGTCCCACTTCTCCCGTTCTAACAAATCTTTTTCCCTTGCCAGAACTCTCACTGCATCCTCACTCTCCTGCAACACATAAATAAGACGTGTGTGTTTAAATATACTGAAGCATGTGTGTAAGTGGGAATTTATGCATGTTTAAAGTTGTTGTGCTAGTATGAATGCATGAGATATGCATGTATGCGAGTAAAATACTTTTCGGTGTTGCTCATAGTTGCGTATGAAGTCCCGTAGCTGCTCCTCACGGCTCTCCAGTGTTGTGTAGAGCTGCTGCATCTGATTCACCAGATCAGTTCTCTCCAACCTCAAACGCTTCCTGTCTGCCTTCATTGCTAGGGGAAAAAGAGAGGCAAAGAAACGGATACACTGTAGATAAAAAATGTCTGTAAAAATTTATATATAATTCTTGAGCATGAAATCAACATATTAGAATGATTTCTGAAGGTTCATGTGACACTAAAGACTGGAGTAATGAAAATTCAGCTTTACTGTCACAGGAATAAAGTACACTTTAAAATATATTAAAACAGAAGTCATTTACTTTCAATTGTAATAATATTTCACAATATAATATACTTCACAGTATAATACTGTATTTTCGATCAAATAAATGTAGCCTTGGTGAGCAAAGAGACATCTTAACCAACCCCAAACATTTGAAAGGTAGTGTACTTCCTCAAGCCACATGATTATAGGTATCATTTATGTCCATAGCACAAAAGTTTAATACATAGAGTTACGGGTTTATAACAAAGCATAAACTTGAGTATAAGCAACACCAATCCTTAGCTGATACGTAGCAAGCACCAATAATTAAAGAAAACATACCAAAATAAAAAAAAAAGAGAAAACAAAATAAGCAATAATTATTCTCTCTACAGAAAATGAAAATAGTCCTTTTAACTTTGCAATGTGTTTTACAGTCTAAAATGCTGTTTTATAAAGATTCTGTGCTCCTCTTCTAGTCTTGCCCTGACAAATCAGAAGTGCTTCACCACCTTGACAATCAAACTTCTTTTCTGCTGTAAATAGTACGAATTAAAATCATATTCATAAAGACCTTACAGAGTTTCACCTGGCATTGCATATATGTAGTAGTAATATTACACCTTAAAAATTTTCTGCATTTGAAATCATTTTCATGTGCTATTCGGATTGTGGTCTCCATCAATTTAAATACATAATACGGTTTAATTTGCATATAACCATTCCCATTTACACATTACTATCATTCTCTTGATGTCCAAGATGTCCATTTTCACACACCAATCACTCTCTCGCTCCCTCTTTTTCCTCTTCCAGGGTGTCTCTCTCTCCAGCTGGCTGTGGTTAATACTGTGTGATAACAGAGGCAGTAATTGACTGTTTTAGGTTGTTTGTAGCCTCTGCTCTGACTTGTAAATTGCAGCTCATCTTTTCCAAGGACATTGAGTCCATTCACCCACCCCTTAAAGACTCATTATACAGGAGCCAAACGGCACACACACACACACACACACACACACACACACACACACACACAGGAACACCTGGTAGGAGGTGGAGAGAAATTGTGAATAGCATTGAACATTTAGATCAGTAAATTCTGGAAGATCAAGAGCTCTTCGATTCCCCCCCAAACTGTGCTTAATTAAATATTGGATGATCCTCTTCCATTAGCTCACACACAAATCACATTATTAGTTATTTGAGTTTTCGTTATCCTTCCATCTTTTACTGAAATGGATTTCTATAGCAGAAATGTTCTGTTTCAAAATTACAATTTTCATTAGTGATTTCAGTAGGCCTTCACCAAATAATGCAGAGGGTGATATGAAAAGGCTTTTTTTGCCGCACATATACTGTATACACACCAGAGGTGTAAAGTATTGGAGTAAATGTAATTAGTTACTGTACTTGAGTATCTTTTTGGGTACTTTGTAGTTGTACTGAGTATCAAAGATATTAGCAACTTTTACTCTTTACTTCACTACATT